TGTTGAATTTTGTCAAAGGCTTTTTCTGCATCTATTGAGATAATCATATGGTTTTTATCTTTCAATTTGTTAATGTGGTGTATTACATTGATTGATTTGCGGATATTAAAGAATCCTTGCATTCCTGGGATAAAGCCCACTTGGTCATGGTGTATGATTTTTTTAATATGTTGTTGGATTCTGTTTGCTAGAATTTTGTTAAAAGTGTGCATACTTTTATTATTCCCAGTTTACAAAAAAGGAAACAGAGAGAGAGAGATTAGTAAACAGATTGTCCTAAACACGGGCTCTTACCCATTTTACCAACTTGCCCTCAGCCCTTACACAGAGATACTGTAAAAAAATTACATATGTATATAAATCAACAGTCAGAAGAATTTACCAGTATTAAAACATAGATAACACAGAATAATTCTACATCACAGTCTTCCATCTAACATAACCTTAAATGTAGATAAGTACAGTTTAGCATTCATTTTAATTTTAACAGCATTTTAACAATATGGCATATATAAGGACAAAAGTGACATTAAGTAGATTATCTTTTTATAGAAAATATAGTAAAATTTTAGTTTTTATATTCAGTATTATGTACCCTTAGTTGATTTGTATACTGAGATTTACATGAATAGTCTATACTGAATTTGAATTTTTTAACAACCAGCTTGGTACTGCAACCTATTATAAAGGGCACACAGACACTTGAGTTATGTAGCGTAGATGATTCTCTTGATTTCAGCGCCTCACTTCATTTTCCCAGTCAGAATATTGTTTGAAAATCAAAGATAAGATAATACATTTTTAAAAGTTGTGGTCTTATTTAAATTGATCTCAAAATTGCTGAGCTGTTTTTTTTTTTTTGTCTAAGTTTTGAGAAAAATCAGCACAATTTATAACTTGTGTTGCGTAGTATTTATGAAAAAGCATTTATTAAAGTTGCAGACAAATGCTTTTAGAAACTTTTTGGCATTTTTTCATGGTTTGATTATTCAGTGCTGATTTATGGCAAAATTACTGGTTTTATGTTTACTCTTAAATAAAAATTGTGACTTTTTAATGAGGATACTAATTGTGAAACAGTTGAATTGAGTCTCCAAAATCTTTAAGAATTTTGTTTCGGTCAAGGCTATGTATATATGTAAACATAAGCTTTTGATGATTTTCAAATAGGATATGATTTATTTATAAAATACTTAGGTAAACTTGCTTGCTTATTACTTCCTGTATCACTTAGAATAAGGTCATGTGCATATCACAGAACAAAAGTAGAGTTGCCTTAAACACTAGAGTTTTTTCTTTTTGTCCTGTAAGAGGAATCTCGAAAGTTAAAGTGACCTTGTGCAATGATTCCAGAGTTGTCAGGATCTCTTGTTGGTTCTTCCCAGCCCAGCATAGACTTTCCATCCTCAGCATCCCTTGACGGGTCAGGGAGGCTGCTGAGCCTGAGCCGTCACATTAGCAGTGGAGTCAGAGACAGTGGGAGGCAGCAGCCCCACCGTGCTACCCAGAAATGGCATCCTAGAGGTTCCACTTGCACCACACTGAGTTGCAGGGAATGCTGAGAAATTTAGGGTTAATTTCTTTTTAATCTTATATTGTTTTTATTAAAACCAGATGCATTGTCACCCCCAAGTTGTGGGATTTCTTTTAGTAAGACAGGCACTCTCTCTCTGTCTCCTGTACTGACCCCCTCTCCATCCTCATTATGATTGTGTCATGATTTGGGTTCATGTTTCTTAGCTTAGGTGTTCTCAGCTTGAGGGGATGGTCAGAAAAGGGGCTGCTACTGACAACTTATGGCCTCTTGTACATCCTCCATAGGCAGGACTGGCTCCCAGGACAAGCAGTTGTTTGGCCAAGTGAGGTTTTGCTTATATTGTATTGTAATGAGAGCCATGAGATTTCACAGAGTTTTGTTGCTCGTTGTACGTGGTGTGTGCGTGCTCAGTCATGTCTGATTCTTTGCAACCCCATGGACTGTACCCGGCCAGACTCCGCTGTCCATGGAATTTTCTAGGCAAGAATACTGGAGTGGGTTACCAATTTCTTCTCCAGGGGAATCTTTCCAACCCAGGGATTGAACCCGCATCTTGTGTCTCCTGCATTGGCAGGCAGTTCTTTACCACTTGGGCCACCTGGGAAGCCCCCCTCCCAGTGTATAACTGTGTAATAGTTAATAATAAAATTTATGGGGACTTTCCTGGTAGTCCAGTGGTTAGGACTCTGCGCTTCCAGTAGTCAGAGAACTAGAATTCCATGTGCCATGTGGAGTGGCCAAGAGTAATGCTAATAGTAATAAATTTTGAAAATAAAATTTATGTAGCTAAATTTATATTTAAATAGTACTAATGATTAACTCCCAGAAGTGGAAGTTATAACCCTTAAAAATTAGTCTTTACAAGTGATTATTTTCACCTTGTGTTACAAGTATATATTCATAATAATAGAATGAAATTTTCAGTCATGGCAAGTTAAATAAATATTGTCAGTTTGGTTTGCTAATTCTTTAAGATGTTGGTATATTAATTGGTCCTGGAAATATTCTGGAAAAAGTCATCTCTTCACGTCTGTTCTTTCAAGGAAGCTGAGCGAATGCTCCAAGCTGGTGAAGACACTGTGCATCTTCCATTTGAAGGGGGAAGCCTCCTGCAGATTCCAATGAAGGCGCTAAAATACAGGTGAGATGCAGCTTTGCATTTTAAAGTGTGCTTTATTTACACGTCAGGTGCATGAATGAGCCATGCAGCGTGTCTCTAAAGTCATGATGCCTGCTTTTTAAACGATGACAAACACTGCCCTTGATGTGTGGGCTGAAGGAAGGCTTCCTACGGTTGGAGGAGGAAGTTGCTGTCTCTTTCCCCTCCCGCTGACAGCAGCAGGATGGAGCGGGCAGGGAGAGCCCTGGCCTCCATGTCCAGCAGAGACTGTCCTGTCATTCTCACTCCTTCTGTTTCAGTGAAGTTTAAACCCAGTCTTAGGGTACTCCCACGCGCTCAGTAGCACAACTGTATTTTTTTCCCTTGCACTCATTATGACGGAGGTTGGTGCCTGCTGGAAAATAACACTTGTAATCCATCTTTGGATGACCTTCCCATAGGTGACTATGTTTAGAGGCCCTGGAACTCTCCTGCAGTTTTCAAAGGTATCATCTGCCCATTGCCAGTGAGGGCTCATACTAGGGAAAAATTAATGTTTATTATGTATAGTTTATCATACATGATTTTGGCGATTTATATTAAAATCTACAAACTAAGCATAGAGGTTGGGAAATGTAAGCTTTTTTTTTTAAGCTTTAGAAACTTCTATAATTTATTTACACATCTGATTCACCTATATATTTATTCTGTTTACAAATACCCATTTATAGTACAAAAATCAGTTTTAGAAAGTATATAGGTTCATTCATTGACCAGTTAATGGAAAATGTTAATATCTAATTCTCTTGCTTCAACCTTTTTTCATTTTTAACTTTATAGTTTTTACAGAGGTCACATTTGGACTCTATGTGTTGATTAGTTTTGACAAATGAATTCACAAGTAATTTTTCTCTAATACTTTTTACTATTAATTTTTATCATGGGTATTCTTTGTCACCTTTCATGATTTACCCTCAAATTTGTATATATCTTAAATGTCAAGTATAGACATTTTAATATATCCATGTACAATGCTCTGCTTCTCTAGACTCTGTAAATGTTTGTTAAATGAATCAGTGTACTGAGTTTGTGCTAAAAAGACTGTGCAAGTGGAAGTGTTAGTTGCTTAGTCGTGTCTGACTCTTTGCAACCCCATGGACTGTGTGGTCCACCAGGCTCCTCTGTCTGTGGAATTCTCCAGGTAAGAATACTGGAGCGGTTGCCATTCCCTTCTCCAGGGCATGTTCCCAGCCCAGGGATGAAACGCAGGTCTCCTGCATTGGAGGCAGGTTCTTCAGCATCTGAGCCTCCAGGGAAGTCCACAGAGTGTAGGAACCGCCATGGTAGTTACTAGTGACTCAGCAGTCGGCTGAGATGTTGGCCACTTAATTTCTGTAGGTCCTGCATTAGCTTTTCCTTACCCTGATTACACATGGACCTTGACAAATTTAAGTGGAGTCCATACTTACACTTTCTGATATTTAACAAAAAGAATGGGTATACATATGTATATTTACTTTTGTCTAATGATGACATGAGCCATGATTAATGCCATTTTGCTTAAAACTTGGACATCCCAAATGCCAGGAATTGGCTGACCTGTTTGCCAGAACTTTAAGTCTGCTTGCTTTGGATTTGTGTGTGTGTGTGTGAGTCACTTAGTCATGTCCGACTCTGCGACCTCATGGACTCTAGCCCGCTGGGCTGCAGTGGAATTCTCCAGGCACGAGTACTGGAGTGGCTCGCCATTCCCTTCTCCAAGCTTTGGATTATATGCCATGAAAATGAAGTAAGATAACTTAGCAACAAAGGAAAGCATTTGGAAACCGTGAAGTCCTACAAAATATGAAAATAATTTATTGAATGTAGACAAAATTGTTTCCATCTAGTTTTTATTTTGGAAGGAAACAAAATGTCTACTTTCTTCAGAGGGGGAGTCTCAATTTCTACTAATGGGAAAGTAGAGAATTGGTAGAGAAGAAACATTTAGAAGCTAGAAAGTGTTTGAGGAATTTCTCTCTTCAATTATTGGAAGTTGGCAACTGAGCAAAGAAACCTTTTCTTGGGGTATACTGGTTTTCAGGTACCACCGTGGTGAATCTGGGTGTCCAAACGTGTGCGCTTGTAAAAACTTGACTTGGTGAAGCAGCCTTGGAGACTTTCCCGTGATTCTGTCACTCATTTCTGCAGTCTTACATCATCAATGATGGGCAGACTTAATGTGTGAACAAAGGACTGCTCTATAGCCCTTTATAACCTGGCTGCCACCACAGTGTTAATTTAACATCTATTTTGACATTTGTATTCGTTGTTTGTTTGCATGAAATATTTTTCTTTGGGTGAAGCAAAAGGACTGGCAAGTGTATTTCTGTTAACTTCCTAGTACTTTCATGTAACTTGTGACTGACAGCCTTAAGCCCCAGATTATTTATGGATGTCTTCATTACTGGATTTGGGGCCTTGAGGTAATTTTTGCAGTATTTCATAGAAACACAGTATAATTACGTTTGTTTCTTACAATGAAAGGAAGTGTTTTGTTCTATGGATTTTGATAAAATTTTATATATTAATAGTAATACTTTGAGGCTACCATATTACTGATATGGTAATAATCAGCTAAAAGTGGTACAGACAAACCTTTTTGGTATTTTATCTGTTGAAGTATTTTAATTTCTAATTTTAAAGCATCCCATTTCCCAGAATTCTTTTTAATGATTTTTTAAAACTATGAAAAAAATGTTTTAAATCCTAATTGTTACTTTATGTACTTTGGATAGTTGTTTGCTGCAACTGAAATTTGTGCAGATTATGAAAGTTTCTAATTGACTTGATGCTGTATCACTTTTTATATTTAAAAGCACATTAATATATTCTTTCCTGTTATTTTAATAGTATACTTATAGCCAAGATTACCACCTTTGGGCATCATTGCCAAGTTAATTAGTCTCATTCCTAGTTTTGATTATAAGGAAAGATGCAATTCCCCATGAGACCTTTATAATAGAACTCGAAAGTACTGATATCTTGCTGGACCTTGGTTTAAGTGCATGGCAAAGAGTTTTCTCAATTTTAAGCTGATGAAAGCAAATATTATGTAGATAATAAGAATGACAGTATTAATGCTTTTGAAAGTACACAATACTAACCAGAAAGTGTATTTGTTCTTCAGTGTTGATCCCTCAGTTGTTAACATATCAGATGAAATGGCCAAAACTGCACAGTGGAAGGCACTGTCCATGAACACTGAGAATGCCAAAGTACCCAGACCTAACACGAGGTAGCTGTAACAATTTATGCATTTTCTAACTGTAGTGGCTTCTAGTTTACTTATGGATAGCTATTTAGAAAACCATTCAATTTAACTCAATTTACATAATTTATATTCTCCTTCCTTAACAAAACCAACATTTTTTTCTTCCTCTTTTCTTTCTTCCTTTCATCTGTCCATCATTTTACTGTGTACTGGAGCAGATACGGGTACTGATTTTTTTTTGTTGTTATTTTTTACATTTATAGTTGCCTACTTCAAAAAAAAGAATTGGTGTTATTTTTTAATAAAAATAAATATATACATATGGAATAAATATATAAAAGATCAGAAACCATATAAAGAAAAAAAATTACTAGGGATTGAATACTAAAATAGAGTGCTGCCTCAATTATGCTCTGATGGTCCCCCCAAAATATACCTTGTTTTGTTTTGTTTTGTTTCAGCCTACTATATCTTCTGATTTTCCTAGAAGATACTTGTAAGAAATGTAATCCCTGATTGTAAAGGCCATTTAGTTTTATAATGAACCATGTCTTACACAACTGTTTCATAACCTCTTAACGTTTCTTGTTATGTAATAACTTTTTCTTTCTTTCTCCCTCACTTTAAGACCTAAACTTCAGGAATTCTGACTTGATAATCATGAGTACTTTAACCCCTCATGTCTCTGGAGAAATTAGATATTATCCTGTTGAATACTCTAGTCATTCAGAGTCAACAGAAACTTTGTGTATACTTTGTTGCAGACCCTGTGTTAGATATCAGTATATGCTGTGTGGCTGTCAGATTAAAACTTGCAGGCGAGCAGTCACAGGTTTTTCTCCATCTTTCCCTGCCTCCTTTAGAATTTTGCTTCTGCTTAATCTTTGTTACCAGATTTTTTTTTTTTTTTGCTTTTCTCCCATCATTTCTTGAGTTTTAATTCTCTCAGCTAGACTGTTTCCTTCACTTATATATATGATCTCAGAAGTTTTAAAGTTAAACTTTTTGTCATTTTGGATTATTTCATGCAGCCCAAATTTCACTAGATACTCTTAACTTTTAGTAATTTTCAACTCCTGTCAGCACCCCTGGCCCTGAATGTTAGTATAAAGACCTTAGACTAATATTATTTTATCTTTTGTAAGTACTTCTGCCTTTCATTCAGGTTGCCCCTCAATTAAAAATAGCTTAGAAGGAAAGAGAATGTTTTATTATGTTGTTCAACAGAAAAATGTTTGAGGTGTCTTCCTTCAATTTTGTCTGGAGAAGGAAGCAAACTATAGCTTGTTTCTATATTTTGAAGAATGTTCAAAGCCCAGATGTTCTTGTTATAATTAATCAGTTAAGTCCATATACACAAAATCATTGTTTCTGATACTAACTTAAAGATGTAGAATCTTGTATTTGTGAACTAAATTTAGAGAGATAAGGTTTGTAGATTTGTTGCATTTTATAGGAAAGTATTTGATGTTTATTTATATTGACAAAGATTAAATAATGTTTTAAATATTAAATATTTAAATAATTGTTTAAATTTTTTAAATTTGATCAAATAAATAATGTGTCAGTAAAAGTCAAATGTTATAACTGTTCATATATAAAGTAAAACTATTAAGTCAAGCATAGTCATCGTACCCTGACCAATTTTAAGTTGTAAGAAAATGTGAATTTCAGTGGCAAAAATATCTATTAAAAAGCTAAGACTTTTTAATATTTGCCTTTGGGCATCACAGTTTACTGATATGAAAAGAAAGCAGTAAGATAGTAATAGCAACTGGTATGTTTATAGTATAAATAGACATCTCAAAGGCTATTAAGGATATTTACTGTTGTCCATGTTTGAATGTAATATCTGACCATTTCAAAATTACTTATTCTCATTCTTTGTTTTAAATAGCCCTGAAAAACCTGTAAGTGTGAAAATAAATTTTGAAGATGAACCAAGAAAGAAATACCTGGATGCTGAAACTTCCTTATAGATTTGAACCAAGAGGAATCATATATATAGATAGATTAGATACATATACATATATGTGTGTGTGTATGTATACGGTGTGTGTTTCGCGTCACTATATATAACAATATTGTATGTCGTGCCCCTTATGCGTGACTACTGGGGTTTTTTCCTAAAGTAATGTCTGAAGTTTGTTAGGAGCATCATGGAGACTGTGTTTGTAATGAAATGGTCTCTTGGAAGTGAGGTACATGGTTCTTAATCAAATATTTATTTTTCTGTTGGAAGGTTTTTTTTTTTCTGTTCTGCAGTAGAAAAATGTGGGGAAATGCATTGTCTTTTCTTTAAATCTATTCTTTTAAAAAATAATCTTTATTTAAATCAGTAGCAGATCATACCAACCTTAAGTGATACGTGTTTTGTCGATACTTTTACATGTTTTCCTTGAGCTGCTAGGAATGTGCCCACACGGCTTCCCTTCTGCTCGTGCAGTGAGGGGCGAGCAGGGCGCTGTGCCCGCGCTGGGGTGCGGAGGCCGCTGCGCCCCTCGTCCCGTGCGCGCCCGTCACGTTTCACAGCTGATGGGGACCTTCTGGCTGCGGGGGTGCAGCAGGGGGACTTTCTAGATCAGACCTACAGCTTTCACCTTTATATTTTTGAAATTTATTTTAAACCTTAAAACCTGCACATCTAGGTTTCCATTCTGATAAACAGGTAAAATTGCAAGTGGTTTTATAATTTAACCCTCATTCCAGTCATTAGTTAATGAATTTTAAAAGCTATAAAATACCAGCTTAAACTAGTTAAACTCTGTTGCCTTTATAGAATTTTTTTCTGAATCCTAATACCCTTTTAGAGCCCCATATGCCCACTCTGTTCTCTACCTTTGCTGTCTTTTATGTAAAATGTGGTTTCATTTGTATCAGGTTCAAGTTCTTGATTATTTTTCTGTAAGTATGATTAAATAATCAGGAGTCAGAATTCTCTTAAGTGGGTTAATGATCAGTATTACTTTATTAAGAATTACCTTTCATTTTCTCTTTACGTTGTTCTTTCTGCTGTATAGGTAATATTTAATAGATTGTTATCTGTGATTTCAAGATATTTAATTTATTTTAATTGATATGATGCTTAAATGTTATATAAACATTTGAAAAGATGACACATATAGAGTAAATTTAATGTAGATAGTTGGTGCTCACTTGCATTTATGGTTTATTATCTGAAAGCAGTTGATAGATTTTACATCTTTGATATAAAGCACTGCCCTATTTGTATTTTAAAAGAAATTTAGACTTACTATGTATATAGCTCAGATTAATGACATTCTTCCTAGTTTGTGTTTGTGTGTTTTATTTAGATTTTGATTTTCTGAGCTGTCTTTTTAACTTCTAGCAAATCTTTTTAGTCATCTTTTATATACTTTTTAGCTCCATATGAAATAAATAAATGTTGTTCTTGTTAAGCCTGTAGGACTGGATGAATGGGGTTGTGAAACTGATTTGGCAAAAGGATGATTTTTAAAAACCAAACAAGTATTGAGGAGCCACTGAAATACTGAAAATAATAACATGAATGTTAGGATGAAAATTTCAATGAAATTCCAATGCTCTCTTTAATCAGTTCTAATCAAAGTACAAAAGTATGAAGAATTGATCTTATAGAAGAGCATGAGCGATGCCCAAAGCTGATGTTTTAGCAGTTCTAGCAATCCATTCCAAACTACTTAACATGAAATTTCCACATCTAAGACCATGGTACCCAATTCTAGTTAAAATAATGGATTCACTGTCTGCCTCATGGGAGGCTGGAAATGTAACTCATTTTCTTTAGCAAGTGTAGCTGGCATCTTTTGGTGCCGCCTGAAGAAGAGATGCAGTGGTACTTGGTGAGAGAGTGTTACCCATGGTGCTTGTTACTGTTATGAGCTTCCAGTGAAGTGAGTCCTTTTTGTTCATAGCAGCATAATCCTTTCCAAAGACCCCAGTATTTGCTGCTGTAATTTTGTAAACTTCCCTGATTAACCTGAACAAGACGATTTCCTCACATCATTTCCTTGGGTCTGGACGTCATAGGGGTAACAAAATGTGCTTATTTTACAGGAAGTAATTTTAAAATTTAAACTGAAAACTACTTGGGATCATAGTGTTTATGTGATTTTGTTTAATTATGAAAACTAGTTGTCCAGTGTCCGAAAAACCATGACTTGCAGAATGCTTTGCACTCCATGTTTTTACTATTTTTAATTGTAAAATAGTTTCTGCTTTCTTTTGACTACTTGACTTACAAAATGATCTGATATGACTACTCCACTGAAAAGCAAAGCTAATTCATGTTTAAGTAATAGCTTGTTTTATGTGGCTATGATATTTTCCCACTGTTTTTGGAAAATGACCATCATGGATAGCATTCTTTGAAAGATAGTGAAAACTATAATTTAATACATATATTGATTTTTAAATGTTGCCTTAAATGCATATAGATGAGCAGTAGTGATTGCTATGTACTGATTTACCTCAAGGTGCAAAAGTATTAATAAACCTGTGCATATTCCACTTATAAAATAAATTCATAGAAACAGCCCTGCACTTCCTCAGATGCCTTGGTTTCCAGGACAGAGCTCAGAGCTGCTGAGTACCCGGGCTGCGGGGCCACTCAGGACATTCTTTCTTCCACCTGTTTTATTTATTATAGACATCTGTTTACAGAGACTAGTACCATCCTCATGTTGACCATCTGAAATTTAGTTTCTTTTGAATGCTATTTCACTCTAAAATTGCAGCTTTGGGGAAGACAATGAACTCTAGTTACTTCCTTGTGATAAAAGGATGATGCTCTATATTCTCTAATACTAGATACACAAAGTGAGGTGCATGATCTGTCTAACGGGTGTTGTATAGTGTGAGTGTGCCTGTGTGAATGATATGGTCAATCATAAATCTCTCAAGTTGTTTTAAAAAGCTGTGGCATATCATTGTTCATATTTGCCAAGTCTATAAAATGTGTAGGACAATTTTTTACGTGCTAATGCATGTATTTATAAAGCAGATTTCTTTACCACTCAAAATTACTAACTTTGTTTTATTCATCTAAAAATACATTTCTGTTTCTTCCACATACCCAAAGTTTATGTATATATGTAATAGCTTTATAACCTTTTCTTTTCACAAAATGTAGGTTCAAAATTCTGTAAAAAGAAAAATGGTTTCTGAAACAGAGGTATGACACCAGAGCTTGCCGGTTTTAAAGGATTGTATCATGTACAACAGTTATGTAAATGTGCTCACCAGTGTAACATGTGAATCCTGTTTTAAAATGCTCAGATTTCGGATGTATAAGCCATTGATATAACATTGTAATTCAAAAATGTTTAAATTAAATAATTTAATGTTTTAAATTTATTTATGTAGGTCACATCATTGTTATCATATGCAATAGAACTATGTGAACTGTTTTTTGGTTTAGTCCAACAACTATTTATTTTTTTAGAAAGTTAAAGACTTTAAGGACATTCAAAATTTTAAATAGTGTTCATAATTCAGAACTTGGCAATTTTAATGTAAAGTTGGTTCTTTTCTAACTTCAAAAAGTAATGTAAGTGTCAATAGTTGGAAATGGAATCACCTAAAGATCATTTTTTAAAATTTAATTAGCATATATTGACTTCTGCAGTTGACTTAGAGTATTGTTAACAGTTGTTTTTTTAATCAGATTTTTGTGCATTGATTGATTTTTGTGTTGTGGTTTTTCTTTTGTTACTTTCATATTAAAAGGTTTTTTTTTGGTTGTTTTGTGTGGGGGGGTTATCTTCCAGTGTTTGCTCCATTTAAATAAATAGAAATTGAATTTTATTGTTCATTTATACAGTATTTGATAGCTTCGTATAATAAGAACAGTACAGTTCTAATTTTTATGACTTTTATAATTATCAATACAGTGATATTTTCTATTATAATAAAATCCAAAGTAAATTAAGCATTTAAAATGTAGAACTGATATTTTTAATCTATATGAAGTACAAGTATCTACCAGTCTATAATGTGAATAATCCTGCTTTTCAAATCTGTTTCATAATATTAGAAGAAAACTATTTTTTTGGAGATGTTATTGAAGTTGGAAGAGCAATAAAAGTCTACTGAATCAGTCACTGGATATTGTCTTTACTTTGATATTAGAAGAGCACCCCCCCCCCACCCTACATGAGAGGGGATGGAGAAAAAGCAAGTGATTTCTATTTCCTGCCTCCTAATTTTCCTGTGCTTTAGTAAGCAGGAGACAGAAAAGAGGAAACAGTGAGAGAAGAAAATGAAACAAAATAGTGTGTGTTTCACAGTGATTTTGTGACAGTTAAGAAATAATGAAATTAAAGCCCTTTATGATAGGCTGGTCCATTATATTCCCTATTTTAAGACACATCTGTTTAGAGTGAGAATTTTACAATGTGAAATGTAATAAACACACATTGCATGATGTGTAATGAGCATGTTGATACTTAACTCACATATTCAGGCGTGCTTTTCTTTTTTGTTTTTAGAGATTAATTTTATTATGAATTTTTTTTTTTTAGTTATAGCCAATGATAGGGTTTGGTCTGTCTTCCATTAGGCACATAGGGAGCACTTCTTCCTGTGTTTTCTGGACTTGGTGTAAGGCTTCTGATTTCCCACAGTGAATATGATAACCTTCGGGAGTGAGATGGAAAAAAGTGCTGAAGGTTTTGGAAGCTTCATTTGAAAGTTCTGTTTACATTTACTTGAAGAAAGAAATATTTTTTGTCAATTTATTATCCCCAGCTACAGAGCTTTGAGATCTTTGTGGGCATTGAGGGTGGGGAGAAGAAAGAAAACTGAGTTTCCCACTCATTTTTGTTTGCTCTTGCTCCTCAAGGCAGGTCTGATCTCTGCAGCATCAGTTCTGTGACCTTCACATCACTAACTCTGCTTTTCATAAAAACATTCCTGTTGTTTGGGAAGCCTTCCTTTCTGTTTCTCTGCTGCTCTTTCAAAGCTCAGTGTAAGCTGTGTATTTTCTTCCAGCTGTGCTCTCCCTCGTGCTGTCTGCTGGAAGAGCATTTTCCTGCCTCCACTCACGACTGTGTGTCTGTGTTTAAAACACCCTCTGTTTTTCTTCTTTTCCTAGACCAGTGGTCTAGGGGTATTTTAGAAATTTGGGGAATTGTTTTTTTTATGTGTTCTTGTTGATTCTAAATATTTCAATATCTATTTAAGGTACTTTTGTTTGTTCCTTATGTTACTTCTGACATTGTACTATTTTACTTTTGAACATGTGATCTACGTGATCTGTGGATTCACATTAGGATAGTGCAAGGGGTGTTCAAAAACACCAGTAGGGCATTGGAAGCCTCACGGACTTGGACCCCACCAGGCCAGCCGTGAGCTTGACGCAGGCTGCGCACTCTCTGCCCTTCTCGGTGCAGGCGCACAGGGCGGGTGGGCCCCACCCAGGTGGGCCTGCTGCTCGCCTCCGCCATGGCCCCTTGGTCCCATGCCCCCGATCATCTGTGTGACAGCCGCTTATACTCAGGGGTGGCCAAAACATCAAGATTTTATTTTAAGAAATAGGAGAAAGAGAAAGATGGGAAACGCATTGCCTATTCTGATAACAGTTCAGAGCAGTACTTTTGTCTCCTGCTTTATATTTAAAATGTCTCTAGAGGATACCTCTGCTCAGCATCAGTCTGCCTTCTCTGTCACCTTTTTGTTTTGATTGGTCACATTGTTTCTGCTGATGGTATGTTCTCTTCAGTTTAATTAGTTCTGCTACATTTCCCTGAATTTGCTTTTCATCTCACCTCTCTGTATTTTCCAAAATGGTACCTTACTGTTTTAGTTAGTAAAAAATATCTTCAAGTACTCAGATCAAAATGTTGTTACTCTGTTGGGTCTACTTTTCATTATTATTGAGAGCAGAAAAAAAACATCAGGCTAAGCATTTACTGAATTCATCTTAAATCAAGTTTTGTGACATTTAATCACCGCACTAATTAACATGCCCATGGGGGCTTGGAGCTATATAAGATGGGATTGAATTGTTCAGGGAGCAGCATGGTGGTTAAGGCTGGGCTCCAGATTGGAACTGTTAAGGTCTTCCCTGCCTCCATCAATTACCAGCTCTGCTATGGGCCTCTTAGCTCTAAACTAGGATGAGAAATAACCAGACGATGTGAAGAGTAAGTCAAACAATGAAAGAATTTGGAACAGTCCCTGGCACAAAATAAACACTCAATATTTTTCATTTTTTAAAGCTTCATATGTGTGCACACTCATCTCACACGTTAGTAAAGTAATGCTCAAAATTCTCCAAGCCAGGCTTCAACAGTATGTGACCATGAACTTTTGGTAGTTCAAGCTGGATTTAGAAAAGGCAGAGGAACCAGAGATCAAATTGCCAACATCCTTTGGATCATCGAAAAAGCAAGAGAGTTGCAGAAAAACATCTAATTCTGCTTTATTGACCATGCCAAAGCCTTTGACTGTGTGGATCACCACAAACTGTGGCAAATTCTTAAAGAGATGGAAGTACCAGACCACCTGACCTGCCTCTTGAGAAACCTGTTTGCAGGTCAGGAAGCAACAGTTAGAACTGGACATGGACCAACAGACTGGTTCCAAATAGGAAAAGGAGTACATCAAGGCTGTATATTGTCACTCTGCTTATTTAACTTACATGCAGAGTACATCATAAGAAACGCTGGGCTGGAGGAAGCACAAACTGGAATCAAGATTGCCAGGAGAACTATCAATAACCTCAGATATGCAGATGACACCACCCTTATGGCAGAAAGTGAAGAAGAACTAAAGAGCCTCTTGATGAAAGTGAAAGAGAAGAGTGAAAAAGTTGGTTTAAAGCTCAACATTCAGAAAACTAAGATCATNTTTCATGGGCAAGTCCATTTAAGTTTCCCCTTCTTTATAAAATGAGACTTGATCCTACTCTGGTTTTGTTTCAGTAGGCTGAACACAGCTACCTTATTACTAATTTTTCATTACACATGTTCCTTATCCATTTATGCATGGATGTGCAACCTTAGGAAGGATTGTATAGACTATCATTTATAATAAATTGTACATGTTCTTGTTCCATAATGATTTATCCTAGTTTTTCTGATGTGAGTTTGCTATATAAGAAGATAGTGGTGGAAATTCTTTTCATGGATAGGTAATTCAGAAACCAACCTCATAAGTTACCTTGTTTCATGAGAATGGCCATAAAACAACACTGAAATCAGTAATGTGATTTATAAGTATACCTTAAAGAGTCCAGATACAATGCTGGAGTCACTTTTCTATAAGCATGGAGTACAAACAATTTTTGGTTTATTTTACCTGAAACCTCTATGATCATAAGATAAAATGAATAAATTTTAAAAATTGCAAAGGAAAACAGAACACAGGATTAAGGATTTTGAACAGACAGTTATGAAGGAACTAGCTGAGTGGAGGAGAGAAGTTTGCAAACTTATCCTAGGCAAACCTGTGGATAAGAATAGACTTATCTAATGTCCCATGGGAAAACCTATGTTTCAAGAAGTCAGCATACCCAATGTGATATATATATATATATATCACATATATATATATAGAGAGAGAGCTGTGCAAAATATCAAGAAAGGCTTCCCATGTTCCTAGGAAAGCTGTATTTGGAAATATATAAATTATGTTAATCATGTTACATAAGGAAGTCCAATAGGAAGAAACCTCCAAGTGATGTGTTTGTATTGAACAGTTTATTGTGTATGTGGAATACAGAAAAAAAGTAGTCATATATAAGTAATTGCCCAGTCTTTCAGAAATAAATATAACAGTAAATACCCTCACCAGTGTGAGTAAGGGGAAAGGTAGTGAGAACACTAACCCAACAACCGCAGCTGCCTCTCAATGTAAGGTGTGAAGAGAGGTGAGAGGTTAGGATCTTCTGGTGAACATTCCAGGAGGTCACAGGGACTTAAAGCCCTCCAGCTACTCATACAGTACTCATACAAGGCTCCTCATACAATGCCCAGGCCAGCAGCAATAGAGGGTGCATTTTTTTCCAGGGGAATTTCCAACACCCATGTTTATTTGACCAAGTGACAGACTGGTGAATCAGACCTCATGTTCATGTTGATGTTCTGTAAATTTGTTGTCCGGCTTCTTCCTCAGCACAATGGACCACTTCTCAAATTTGGTTTAGGAAATCAGACCACCATTTTTTTTTGCTTGTTTTTTTTTTTTGTTGTTGTTGTTCTCTTTTCCCCTGATTTTGCATCTTTATATAGTCTTAGAAAGACACCATTGGTAGTATACAAGAATAGTTTTAATGTAAACCAAGATCTCTGAATCTCTCTCTGCATATATACGTCCTGCCTATAATACCACATTGTGTGGGACACCATACTCTTAAATGCCTTCTTTTACTGTGTCTACCTCAACACCGTTTTATGGGGATGTCTATTTCTCTTCTGTGTATCTTTCATTTGTTTTCTGAAGCTTGGTTCCACTAATAAAATTGTATTTACTGTTGTCTTTTTTTCTTTTGGTTTTTGTTCCTCTCAAAAGTGAATTCTAATGCATTTGCCTAATTTTCCAGACCCTTTTAATGGGCAAGTCCATTCAAAGTTGTTTCTCTTTCTGAAATGGGGCTATATTCCACCCTGGTTTTAGTTCAGTAGTTTGAACACATCTCTTTCATTACTAGGTCTTCATTATTCATGTTCATTATCTATTTATGCATGGATCTGCATCCTTAGGAAGAAATTTCAGTTCAGTTGCTCAGTCGTGTCCGACTCTTTACGACCCCATGAACTGCAGCACGCCAGGCTTCCCTGTCCATCACCAGCTCCCGGAGTTAACTCAAACTTATGTCCATCGAGTCCATGTGATGTTAAGAGGTTTTTTGTTTTTTGTTTTAAGTTGTCATAAACTGGAAACATTTTCAGTCAAAAGACTCGGGCTCTCACGCAAGATGAAGAGCCTTGCTCAGCCCCACAAAACGAGCTGGTGACAGGTGTCCACGCGGCTCACACCATGTCCCCATCTCCCGCTGCGGGCCGGAATCGTTCAAAGTGTCTCCACGTCACACGGACGCTCCTCAGCAGGTTGCACTGATCCTTTTCACAATAAATCTGCTTTTTTAGTCCATAGCAATTCTTGAAATTAAGCACCCCAAAGTGAAGCTACTCTTTCCCACCCATTTTATCTCAAATGCCGAAGGTTGGTCCCCGAGTCCATAGGCGCCCGGCGGGCAGCTAGAGGGGACGCCCCGCCCCTCAAGCCCCACCTCCCCGCCCGCGCGGCGCGGCGTGGCCCTGCGCGTTCCCCGTTGCTACGGCAACCTGAGGCCGGCGTCCCCGTCGCCACGGCAGCAGCACGGCCGCAAGTGACTGGCTGAGACGCCCGACGGACGGAACAAGAGGCGTCGGCATTGGCTGAGGCCGCGACGGTTGGTGGCCGGAAGGAGGATTTGACTGGCGCACCAACGGTGCTGCTGGCAGAGGTACCCCTGAGACTGAGGGGACAGGGCGCGAGGTGGGGGCGAGGACAGGCCTCCGAGCCAGAGCAGCGTGACAGCAGCAGAAACGATGAGATGCGCATCGGCCTGAAGGAGGGGCCCTCCCTCGGGCGGTGAGTGAGTCGTACAAGCCTCCCTCCGCCGGCTGGCGGTTTGAGCAGGGTCTCCAGAGAGATGCCCGCGGGCGCTTGCGGAGCAGCCTGCGGCCTCGCAGTGAGCGCTCCTCTGAAGGAGGCAGGGCAGAGGGTGCGGGCTGTCGGGCTTGCGGGAGTCACTGTGAGCCTGTCTCTTAGCAGACGGGTGGTATTGGGCGGAAGGATGCTCGGAAAGTGTCATCGATGATGCGTGATGGTCCTTTCAGGTCCATAAAGTACTTACTCTGGTTACGGGAAGCCTGCGTGTGTCTCTCCCGGTTTGCTCCTACACCTCTGGAGACTCCTTCATAAAACCCTTTATGGGCGTCGCTTCTCTGCCTTCCCCTTATATGGTGCTGTTCTGTCCCTCTGCTTCTCTGCTCCACGTGGGTGAGCCTGTCCAGTTCCATGCCTCCAGGCGACACATGTCTGCTGATTCCTTGAAAACCTCCACCCTCAGCCTAGGCTGCTCCACTCGCGCCAGACCCCAAAACCCAACTGCGAGTTAGCTCCACACGTGTGCAGGCTTAAACACCATCTTCCCGGTTCCCACAGACTGTCTCGCCCTTGGATTCCTTATCTTGGGCACCAAGCCACCAAAACCACATCTGGACAATTGACATTTACTGCCTCTGCTTCATTTCCACCAGTTATCAAGGCGGTGCCTTCTTCATAGCTGTCAAATCAGTTCCCACCTCACTGTCTCCCTTCTTGCATTGTCATTTCCACCAGTAGTTTTGGTTAAATTCAACAAGGGTCCACCTTTCCCGACTGTCCCTATATCATCCATTTTTTCCATCTATTGTTAGACTGATGTTTCTTTAAAAACATACAAGCGCATTTCACTTCCTGCTGAGACTGGCTGTCATCCCATCCATGCTTCCTGGTTAGGCCTACCCTCAGCAATTCTGCCTTTGTTCTTAGAACAGCCCCCTTCTTTCCGGTGTGTGCTGATTCACCTGCTGCTCACACTGCCTGCAATGGACTCCACTTCTGTACCTTCCCCAACCCTGCCCTCACTCCCCAGTCATTCTCTGTGAGTTACGTGATTACTTTTCTGCTTCCTCCTCGAGACACACACTCTGAGGACAGAGGCAAGGTCTGTCTTCCTCACCATTTGTCATATCTGTCAGAGTACCCTGCGTGTAGCAGGGGCTCAATAAATACTGGTTAAATGAATGGTTCTCTAAAATGAGAAGTTACTGTTTTTCATGGCATCCAGTAAAGCTTTTACCTATGAAAGATGAATGCTGAATTTACAGGTTTTACTTTGATTTCAGGATCCTTGGTATTGAAAACTACTTCCATTTTCAATCCATATGTCATACTATAATCATATTAATGGTATTTGTTGTTAATATGGCATAAATTTAACATGGAAAACAGAGAGAGTACAGCATACATCGCAAGAGATGGGCTTTAAATCAGATATATTCAAACCCAGGTTTATGGCTTTGAATCCTGGCTCCAACAGTTTGGCTTTGTGGCCCCTCATCTGTGGCTTCTTTATCTGCTACAATGGGATAATAATAACACCGCATAGGATTCTTTTAAAGACTAAATGACTTGATATAACCTATATCAAGTGCATAGTGCCTTATCTTAATAATTTTTCCCTTGGGTAAAAAATAGAAGCACTCACTGCTATATAACAGACGGAGCTCAACCTGCTCCTCTGTGACAACCTAGAGGGGCGGGATGGGATGGGGAGTGGAAGTGAGGGAGATTCAAGAAGGAAGGGACACACGTATACTTAACGGCTGATTCAGGTTGTTGTGTGGCGGAAATCAACACAATTGTAAAGCAACTTTCCTCCAATTAAAATTTTTTAAAAATTAGAAACATTCACAGGGATGTTTGTAGCTGCTTTAGTCACAGTTACCAAATATCTGCAAACAACCAAGATGTCCTTCAGAGTGGGAATGGATAAATTTACTGTGGTGCATCCAAACGATGGAATACTATTCATAGCTAAAATGAAATTCAGCAGCTTCCATGGTCTGGTGGTTGAGTGTGCTTGCCAAGGCAGAGGACATGGGTTCGATCCTTGGTGGGAGACGATCCCACATGCCTCAGAGCAGCTAAGCCGTAACTGCTGAAGCCTGGGAGCCTAGAGCCCATGCTCAGGAACAAGAGAAGTTACCAGAACTGGAAGCCTGCACACCACAGCCAGAGAGGAGCCCCCACTCGCCACAACTAGAGAAAGCTCTCGCATAACAACAAAGACCCAGTACAGGCAGAGATAAAGGTAAATAAAATTAAAAAGAAATAACTATTAAGCCATGAAAAGACATGGAGGAACCTTAAATGCATATTACTAAGAAGAGTAAGTAGCCAATCTGAAAAGGCTATATACTGTATGATTCCAATCTGTGACATTCTGGAAAAGGCAAAACTATGGGGACAGTGAAAAAATCACTGGTTATCAGAGGTTAGCAGGGGGTGGAGGAGGAATAAACAGGTAAGGCACAGAAGATTTTTAGGGTAGTTTACATACTCTGTATGACATCATAATGGTGGATACATGCATTATCAGTCAGGTCAGTTCAGTTCAGTCGCTCAGTCGTGTCCGACTCTCTGCGACCCTATGAATCACAGCACGCCAGGCCTCCCTGTCCATCACCAACTCCCGGAGTTTATTCAAACTCATGCCCATTGAGTCAGTGATGCCATCCAGCCATCTCATCCTCTGTCGTCCCCTTCTCCTCCTGCCCCCAATCCCTCCCAGCATCAGGGTCTTTTCCAATTAGTCAACTCTTCGCATCAAGTGGCCAAAGTATTGGATTTCAGCTTCAGCATCAGTCCTTCCAATGAACACCCAGGACTTATATCTCCTTGAGGATGGACTGGTTGGATCTCCTTGCAGTTCATGCGTTATACGTGTGTCCAAACACATAGAAAGTACAACACCTAGAGTGAACTCTGAAGTAACCTATGGACTCTGGATGATAATGATGTGTTAATGTAGGTTCATCCTTGGCAATAAGGTACCATCTGCTCAGTAGTATTGATCGTGAGGGAGGCTACGCTAGTGTGTGGGGGGTATGTGGGAAATCTCTATACCTCCCTCTCAAATTTGTGGTAAACCTAAAACTGCCCTAAAGAATAAAGTCTTTTAAAAGTAGACCAAGAAACACTGAAGTTTGTAATTGTGAAATTCCCATGGTAAACATCAGTTGGTTCAGTCAGTTTCTAGGACATCATCCTATGACCCAGTCACACTATGCTGCTCGGATGTGTGCATGCGTGCTAAGTCATTTCAGTCGTGTCTGACTCTTTGCTACCACATGACCTGCCAGGCTCCTCCATCCATGGGATTCTCCAAGCAAGTATAGTGGAGTGGGTAGCCATGCCCTCCCCCCGGGGGTCTTCCTGACCCAGGGATCAAATGTACATCTCTCATGTCTCCTGCGTTGGCAGACGGATTCTGTCCCACTGTGCCACCTGGGAAGCCCACACACTGCACTGTACTACTTGATCACAAACTTCTGTGTACAAAAACAGCTCTGATACAGGTAAGGGACTCGAGAGCTTTGTGTGCATTTGATGAATCTAGGGTGCTCTGCCGGATAAGGATGGGGCAAAAGAAAGTGTAACCAGCTAAGTCTCAAGTAGGTGAAAGAAGGGCCTGGAATGTCACCCTGCCTCAAAGTCTGAGCCAAACAGACTTTGAGGACACTCAGAGTAGACTGCATGGAGCCCTTGAAGATGTGGAGAGGAGGTAAAAGTTTTCTGGGTGACCAGCAGGGAGCGAAACCAAGACCCTGTGCTCTTAGAGCCCAGTTTCCCCAGGGTGGTAGCCCAGAATCCATAGAACTCAGAGTCTCACACCAGATGCCTGGGTTCAAATCCCGGCTCCGCCACTGCCGTACACAGGGGATCTGCTGCGTTGCTTAATCTTGGCCCCTCAGTGTCCTTGCATGTAGAATGGAGTTGTTGTGAGCCTTACACGAATCAGTAGAGATAAATCTTAGAACTATGGTGGGTATGTAGGAAGTTCCGTGTACATGTTGGCTCAGCAGTCCCCAACCTTTTTGGCACCAGGGACTAGTTTCATGAAAGACAGTCTTTCCACAGACTGGGCAGCAATGGGGGAGGAGCGGGAGGATGATTCAAATGCATTACATTTATGACGTCACCGCTGATCTGAGCAGAGGCAGAGCTCAGACAGTAATGGGAGTGGTGTGCAGTGGCAGTAATACAGGTAACCCTTGGCTAGCTCTCCTGTTGCTCACCTCCTGCTATGCAGGCTGGTTCCTAAGAGGCACCAACGGGTACTGGTCCATGGCCTGGAGGTTGGGGGCCATGTGTTAGCTGTTTCTATTATGCTTTACTTGGGAGAGAGAAATAAGAGATGAAAATAAAGCAGGATGTGGGGGATAGAAAGTGTCACCATGGGAACAGGTTATATGGCTTGGATTTGGAAATGACTCTTACGTTTTTGAGACCTGGTCTTCCACAGAAAAGTGAACTCTACATATACTCATATATCCGCCTGACGTGTGTGGTTTTTAAAAAAAAAAAATCATGAAAATGAGCACTGAATAAAATAGATGATTTCTCATTTGGTAAAATGATGCTCATTCATATCTAGAGGTCAGAGTTCCCTTCATCTCAGCTGAAATCTGCGACAGTCATCATAAAGGTCATGCTCTCACATCCATGAGGTCAGCTCAATTCAGAGCTTATTCAGTCTTGTATTAAGAGTAGTTATAGTTGACAAGAAATCTAGCTTCATAACCCTCGAGAGAGTCAAAACAACAAAATGATGGTCAAAGGGCACATATCTAGAAGAGAGACTAAAAAACCCTCCTACAAAAGTTGAAATAAAAACAAGAGGCAGATTGGATAACGCATAGCAGCCTTGACATTGATCCTGGGCCATCAGCGAAAAGTCACACAATATTTAGTGTATTTTGCATAAATGACAGGGAATTGTTAATTGATTTGAGAAAAGTGTGTCTGAAGTAATATTTTAT